ATAAAATATAAAATTTGGGCTTTTTATATCACTGTCTTCTTATATTAAGCCACGTTAAGCGCGGTTTTCTATGGGGAAGAAAACGCTTATCATGCAGTTCAGCTCATATGGGCTCATCTGCTTGCATGTACACAGAATATATTTTTAATAAGTTCTATAGCATATTTGGTCTTTTTTTTATCACCGTCTTCATTAAGCCGCGTTTTCTTTATGGGAGGGAAACGCAAAAGTTTTGCGAGGGAACGCAACGTTTCTCGAGGGAACGCAAAAGTTTTGCGAGAGAACGCAAAAAATCTGACAAATATTTTTTTCCTCCCACCCCAAATTTTTACACTCAATCTGATTTTTTTCCACCACCATGTCCCTTTAGAGGCTCCGTACTATTCTAATTCTATTCTTTATATAAAAAACCTTGCCCCTTTTAGACTTGCACTCTATTTATTTACTAACTGCTTGTTTTCTTTAAAAAAAAAAACCTAACAATTGCTTCTCTAATCTTTTTGTATTCGATCTATTTGTTTTCTTTTTATTTATTATACAATTAACAAAAGCAAAAAAGGCCTCTAACACTAGCTTGCTCTATTCTTTTTCTATTCTATCTGTTTTCTTTTTATTATATAATTTGTTTAAAAGCCTGCTATGTGAACTATGTTAAGCTAACGTCTCAGGTTACTTATGTAACCATGGTTCCCTAAATAGGAAACGATACACTGCGTCCTCTAGGGGTCGCTATGGGGAACGCCTCGTCGTGACCCGTGTCTGAAGCATACATTGAAAAAACATGTCGTTTCAACCAACTGAAAATCAACGTCGATTCAACGTTAGGTAAGTGAACCAATTGCGTCGATTTTCCGTTAGTTTTGAATGGCGTGCCTGACGTTGGATCAACGTTACCCCGATGAGCAAAACGATGCTGGATCGACGTCGGAGATCAACGTCGTTTTGACACCACGAGAAACATCGATTCTACGTTGATTCTATGTTAGTTTGCTATCTGAGTCGTTACTGAATTAATGAATGCTTCGCCTTGCTCATTAGACAGTGACTTGCCGCCACCTACTGGCGATTTTAGTTTTGAATCTACAAGTATAACTTCGTTTTGCCTTTATTGCTTTATTTATTATATTAATAATACACTTAATGAAATGTGAAGAATATGACATAAAACATGACATACAATTAATAAGGCTAGAAAAACTTTGCCTCTATAAGAGTAAAAATGCACATGTAAATCAATTTTAGGGGGCAAATATTGTCCCTTAATGGAAAAGGTGTGACTGCGGTCTAAGTGGGGGTACTCAGAAGAATGTTAGGATGTTAAATGC